TGCGGGGCGCGTGCGCCGTGGGGGGGCGCGCGGGAGGCGGCCGCGCTGCGCGGTCCCTGCCTGCGGCCCCCGCCTGGAAAACGAGCCGGGGTCTTCCTTTCTTCCCAGGTAAATGGATCATGCACCGTACATGGAAAGCAGCTTTGCTTCTTCTTCCTTCCGATGTGGATCAGGGGATCAGGGACAGAAAGAGGGTCCTGTTCAGAACTGAGTCACCCACACTTCGGTAGTAGGGACAGCAAATCAGGAATAATGAAAATCCCTCGGTATTGCTGTTACTTGGCAATATGAGGTTGTTGTTCTGGTTTAACAATCTCCATCTCTTGCAGTATTAGGTCTCATCCTAGAGACATGATGGTTTCACTCACATAATGACTCCAGTGAGAGGATCTAGAAGTGTTTTTAAAATCTTCACTCTACAGCTTACAGTGATTTACCTTATAGCAGGTAATCACAAAATCTTTTCCTGCATCACATATTTCCAGAATCGCTAATGGAAAAAATCAAGCAAAATCATTACAACCAAGCTGTAAATTATGCCTTGCTAGCATATTCATCTTAAAACGATTACTTGCAACATAGTTATCCTAATACTGATTCTCTCTTGTAAAATAAGATTCTCTCTTGCCTGTAAAACATGCCTGTACTGGTTGTTGCTAGAGCATGGTATCAGATATATATTTACATATAACAGATACATATCTACAAGCATCAGATACATAGTTACATAGTTAATAGACAAAAAATTAGCTTTTCTTTCTTGGCAAAGATGTATTGTTAAATTACCCACAAAGATAAAAATTTACAAAGGCTAAACACTGATATTATCTCAAAACTTTAGACCATTGTCTATTCTCCCTTTAGCCTGAGTGTCTGTTCAATGTTGATGCTAAAACCTAAAATCAATTATTAAACTAATAATCTTATGTGGCATGGATGTAATTAATTTATAATAGGATAATTAAAACAAATGGCAATTCAACTAGCAATAAAATCATGAAAATAGATCATAGCATATTTTAAGAATATGATAAAAAGCTCAGAAAGCTGAAAAAAGCTATTTCTAGTGTGTCTTCAGGAGGACCTTTTGAAAATTCAGGTTGACTCCTAAATTAAAGCATTTCTGAAGGCTAACCTGGCTTCTTCTGGATAGAAAGTTTTATAAGATTATCCTTTTTGTGATTCACATGGAAGAAAATAGATAAACAACAGAAATCACTGAGAATAGGAATTAGATAATATACTTTTCAAATATCTATCTCCCCCTTCAGGATAGCAAACGACCTGTATCAGAATCCCTAATGAGGACACACTTGAGATGAGAAAATAGATGTGAATAAGCTTTTTAACAGTGAAACTCAGTTTTAAAATATCAAACTTCAGGAGCAGTGGGCCACAAATAACAGATTTCCTCTCCCCTGCATCACAATTCACAAGCTTATAGGATAACTACTATAATGACATGCCTAATACTGTTCTGAAATGGAGAAAATAACTGCGGGAGAGTTCAGCTACTGCTTCAGTTATGAAAGGACAGAAAGAATTCCAGTAGTTCTCACCATGCTTCAGGAACTTTCGACATGTCAATATAATTCATACTAGACCTCACAATTTTATTTTGCTTCTCACATCAGCTCAGTATTTGTGAGCCACAACCATTCATCCTGATTTTTCTTTTGACATCATTTGCTTTCATTTAAGCTTATTATCCATTAGCATTTTTCATTTGAAATATTGTACTTAATTTTTGTCCTCCTCTGGAATGCCATCTAGTGGCTTCATCTTAGAAAAGACCAGCTTTTACTTTTGTCAAAGTTGAAAAATGACTGTTTGAAATTTTCAGAAGTCTAAAGAATTCTGTGATTACAGTAAGAATATCAGAGAGAAAACAAGCAAGCAAGCAAACTAACAAAATGCTCAACAATTCACCCTGTGAAGGGTTCATAAACCCTTACAGGTTCACACGATTTTTCTTCAAAAAAATTGTCAGAAGGCAGAAAAAGATTTTAGAACATTCTTGAGGCTCTTACTTTTAAATAATTTACAAAATTTCCTGAAAATGCATAATGGTTGTGCACAATTAGCTATCTGCACCTGACAGTTCTATTTCAATATACATGTACTGTATGTACAGCTACGGCTGCCGAAAGAAGTGAACACTGCCTTCATCAACGGGAATGTCTTAAGATACAACAAGGCACCAGCATTTTCTCCTCTATCAAAATCTTCAGAGAAAAGAAAAACTTTTCAAAATAGGAGATTTCTTTTTCTCTTGTTTTTTGAATCTCTATGAGCAATCCCATGAATTAGTAAGTCAAGCTTCACGCTTCTACATACAGACTTATTGACTCTGTGTTCTCCAATGTTGAGATGGAGATCCTTTGCTGCCTACTAGATACAAATCTTAATGCCTATGTGAAAAAGGCTTCAGAATTTCTCCTGCATTTTGCTTTAAAAATCACAAACCAGCAAATGCTTATTATGCTACTGGAGAGAACTGATAAAGGTAATTGTCTTAGTAGTAGTAGTACAGTAATTTCAATAGTAACTTCCAACATTTGGCTTTATCTCTCTCTTAGGGATAGCGTTAATGCCAGATGTAACATTTAAAACAAAGGCAGTTTTGCAAGTAAAGTCTCAGTACTGCATTAACTACAAAGGTTGTTTTACGATAGTATTTGCATTAACTACAAAGGTTGTGTTTTACCATAATCCCAATCATTTTATCATTAAAATCATAAAATCATTTTATTTTAATATATTTACTAGTCAGCATCAATTTTCTTATTAGACTAAGCATCCTTTGTACTCATTAAAGACAAAGCATATTTTAGAAACTCCTCAATGATAGTATCTGTTTAAAAAAGCCTGTTTTGTTTTTAAACAAATTTCAGTTGGTACCCACATATACCTTCACGTTAATTCCCTTCATAAACGATTAACTTTTTGAAAGCCTACAGGTTGGCTTTGGTTAGATAGCAGTGAGAACTCAGAATAATCTTTCCGAAATACCATATTCAGCTTTGTAGCTTCACTGCTTCTGCAAAGGAAAAATCTAATTTTCACTTAGTCTATATAAAAGTACAAACCTGCAACAACTTGCATGAAAAAATGGCTCTTAAAAATGTTATGTACTTCAGTGTAGCAGCACTCAAACAACCTTTAATGCACTTTTATGTTTTTCCTGAAAAACTGAAAAATACAAGCAAAGGCAAATTGCACAGAACTGCAAATTCTTATCTCTGCTTTGAATATTTTTAATTGGCATCCATAACTTTAAATCTGAGGAGAGTCACACAGTATTTTCATTTAAGCATCTGAAAGAAGCACCTACCAGATCTGCCAAATAATATCTTTTTGTCTTTCCTTATAAGAAGGTAATATTCTAATTCAAGATCCACGATACACAAACAAACCCATGAAAATAGATCTTTATAAAGAAACCCTTTACAAAACCAAATTCTATACATATTAAAGCCACTTAAGCTTGTTATTACACTAAATGTGGTAACCTACTTCCTGGTCAAGAAACCTCTATCTCTGATGACACCTAAAGGGGTTACTCCCTCCTGCTCTCACCTTGAATGTTCCCTACTCCTTCCCCTCTGATAGGGGAAGTCAACCAGATCAAATTAAAAATATTGTTATTTTTGGTAAGGTTCATATCAGCAATCTGATTCTAGTGGCTGCATGGTCACGGATATACTGTCTTAGCACTACAAAGTTGACAAAAATACACAAATAAAAATGTAAGGAAATGGCAGGATCATATCTTTCTACAACTTTAATATCTAATGGCCTATTACATGTGCTTGTTAACATACAAATGCAGGTAAGGGTAACTGTCAATTACAATACTTGCCATTTCTTAAAAAGCCCAATGACACTATAATCTGTTTATATAACAGTGTACAATGAATCACTGATTCTAAAAATTCTTTGTTAAACCATTTTTGTTTGTTAAAGAGACAAGAAGCATCGTTGGGAAAGAATTAGGCAGCAAAACCCTGTTAATCAGGAGGCAACAAAAGGAAACAAGTCAAAGGTTACAGAACAGGTGAAAAGAATGTTCTTAAACTACTTTTGCAAGACACTGGAAGTAGTCTTACGATGGCTAAATACAAGGATATGAAGACAAAAGATGTTTTTATTAAGTTATTTTCTTTAATTTAAAGATAATTGTCAGTAGGATTAAATCAATATTTAACGTCTTTTGAATTTCAAGTTATACCACTTTGAGTATTATATTGGCCATCTCCACTGGTCAGAAGGAGGTTCATCAACTAGAGGTTCCCATGGTTTCCACTGTGTCATTTTTCTTGCCAGAGAAAGCTCATTTTCAGCCTGTTAATAAACATCATATACAAGGTCTTAAAAACTGAGTATCACTCATGTATGAAACTAACTTTATTTCAGACCATCGTGCCAGTGATATGTCACCATCTACTATGGTCAGGGATTACTTCAAATTTCATCTTTAAACTGAACAAAGAAATTCCTTCTGCTGCCCAAATGCCCCTCCGCAGCATGCCAGGAGCCCAGGCTCCAACCTCTGCTCTGCCTAATAACACGGCAGCCTGCAGGAACTGGAGATTCCTTCTGCATGGTGCAGGACGTGCCAGGAGGAGTGTGGTGCCCGACTTCCCTGTAGGCAGCTCTTCACCTTCCACCAGATGGACTAGATGAACTCTAGAAGTCCCTTCCAACCTTAACCATTCTGTGATTCTGTGATTTTTAATAGATCAGGTGACACCCAAATGCTCATAGGGACAGCCTGTTCACCTAGTCATTCCCATTCCCCTTCATGACAATCTCTTCAACCCTGTTATTTTCCCAGTCTACTTAGTTTATCTTCCAATATGATTCTGTTATCTGCACCTTCCATATGCACGTTAAGTATATACTTGCATCAACATGGTAACCATTACTAAGTTTGTTAGTTTTCAGCCTGATCATCCCTTTCATGCTTCACTTTCAGCTTCCTTATGAAACAAACAAACAAAGATGTTTTCTAGGAAAGGTAAATTGCAAATTTTAAGTTCAGCCAAAACAACACTTGGGAACACTACTCCAACTTGTACCTAATTTTAAGTTTCCCATTTCTTACCTGTAAAATGACTTCTTCTATGTGGCCACTATTCAGCTTGTCTTCTAGTTTTTGCACATCTTTTTCCTGTGTATTCAAATGCATGTGTTTAGTTTTACTTAGCAGTGGAAACACGCTTAGAGTAAACAAAATGTCAAGTTCTCAACTATAAACACTGAAAAGCAGTACTAATTAATGGCATCCAAAGAATCAGCAAAGGGCTAGAGTATACATCTTAAAAGATCTTTTCCTCACCTTTAAGAACAATATTCAATCTTTCAGTTATCACTTTAAATACACCACCAATATTGTATAGCTTAATGTACCCAATAAGTGTTTTAAAATGTCAAATGTAAAGATTGTTCTAACAGCACATGGATTTTCCGGTACAAATGTGTGGAATCTATCGCTATTCCACAAATCTTCAGAAAACTATTTTTCTTCTAATTTTAATATCCCACTGAAAATATTCTAATCAATAACAAAAATAAATTGAGACCTCACTTATTTCTGAATTAATATATGAAAGTTGCTTATACCCCCAGAAAACAGCCAGTCATTTCAAAAGTCATTCTTCACATCCTAAAAATCTTTTCACATGCAATATGTATGAAACAGCTCTATACTTACTGTTTGCACTAAATTCATTCGCTGATTTACAATCTGCTCGGTGTATTTCCTATATGCAGCATCTTTGGGAATGCTTTGCAGGACAGTGAGAATTTTTGTATACAGTATTCGCAGGCGCTGAAGTGATCAAGAGACATAGTTAAAATACAAAACTGGACTTACTCAGCTACACATCCTACTTAATCTGCTTAAATACACATAACAAAGTACTGAAAGTATTTGGATGCAAAATGTCTGAAATAACAAAGTAGCCAAGTCTGACCCACACAATTCTTTTCTTGGGTTGGATTGAGATTTATCCAAATTTACCACTGGGAGCTTCCTTACAAAATAAAACATTGTAATTTGAAGTATATATGATACAAAATTCAACTAGATACCTGTATTCCTAGTATTAACCATGCTTTTCACAAATAAAATTCAACTCCAAATGATTAGTTTCAGAAAAACTACTTGAGAAGATAAAAAGATGCATATTACTTAAACTAGAGCATGTTGGCTTATTTTTTCCCCACCTCTTCTCATGGTGGTACAAAATTCAGCTGTAAATATTGCTGTATTCTAATGCAGTGGTAAAGCTCTTAGCAAGATAATTAATAAATGCCAGCTAAGGGACATCTCTTGTCTCAGTAACAGCATCTAACCAAAGAAGAAAGAAAGTCCTGTAAGAGGAATAAGAAACAGAAGTATATTTTAAATAGTATTGTTGAATAGCTGGAAATTTCAAAGTGAGGAGAAAATAAAAAACTGCAGAAACCCTTCCAAAGTTCCCATCTCTTGTATGAACAAGCCAGATGCAGCAAATATATCTGCCATGAAGAGGCAATAAGAATGTACCAAATTGTTTATGAACCGGCTACTTGATTCCCAAGAACTGCTGAGATATTCCGATCACAGGCCCTACATGTGCTTCTTCATTAAATGACTATCCTTAAATTAACGCATCTATTGGGTAAAGTTACCCCACCACCTTGATATCAAGTATAGCTTTTTTAGGTATGTACTGAAAATAAAAGCAAGGTATGAAAAAAAAGTGTGCTTGTGCCCTAGTAATGATATTTATAAAGAGTTTAATTGAACATTTATTATGTTTGAATTGGAGGAGTACATAAGATGCATCAAAAATGAATTCAAAAAAGAACTTGCAGAAAGTGAGATTTCTGAAGTGAGCACACATAGCAAGAAAACATACCCAAAATAAAGCCCTGCGATCTGAATTAACTTTAAGAACTAATTTGTTTTTCTGTATTTTTGCTTTCACTTTGGAAAATATTCACAATCTGTCATTTAATTTGTGAGCTCTCTAATGGACTGCAACCAAAACAAAACAAAAACAAACCCCGCTTTGTCCTCCCTCTCAGTTTCAGTTTAACATGGAATTTCTCGCAACGTACCTCGTGAGGATTTTCAGATACAGCCAATCCTACCAGCCCGGTGGTCTGCAGAGAGGGCACAAGGGAGGGTTTCATGCACCAAGGCTCTATCTTCGTGCCATGTGACCCTTTTGGGGCCCTCCCCGCCTCACACCTTCCGCGACACAAACCCCCCCCGCCAGCGCCACACGGCGCCGCGACCTCGGCCCAGCCTCGCTCCTCCCGCGCGACCGTTAACGGTCCCGGCGGCCCGGGGCGCACTGGGCCCCTACTTCGGCCACTCTGCTCGGACACCCTCTCCGTGGAAGGTCGCCGCGGCGGGGGGCCCACGCGAGACGAGCACGCGAACCGCATTCACCTTCCTCAGTGCG